GCCGCCACAATGCGGGGAAGCTTGCGTGCCTGTTGTCTCGCAGCACATGTTGTCGCACTCGCTGTCGTGTCGTTGTTGTTGTAGTTGTTGTTGTTGTTGTTGTAGTCGTTGTTGTTGTTGTTGTTGTCGTTGTTGTTGTCGTTGTTGTAGTTGTTGTTGTTGTTGTTGTTGTTGTTGTTGTTGTTGTTGTTGTTGTTGTTGTTGTTGTTGTTGTTGTTGTTGTTGTTGTTGTTGTTGTTGTTGTTGTTGTTGTTGTTGTTGTTGTTGTTGTTGTTGTTGTTGTTGTTGTTGTTGTTGTTGATACGCCTCCTCCTCGTCCTCCTCATCCTCCTCGTCTGCTTTGTTGTCTTCGTTCCCAGCCCCTTTTCGCTGCTGCTGCTGCTGCTGCTGCTGCTGCTGCTGCTGCTGCTGCTGCTGCATGGAGCCGGCCTCATTTGGCTTGCCTTGAAGCTGGAAGTGTGTGAAGGACAAACTCGCAGAGACAAAGCCATGCTTTGCGTAGAAGCGGCGGAGGTGTGGCTGGCTCGTATGAAGGGCAGAAACGGCGATGCCCAGCCTTCTCATGTGTTCGACAGAGTGCCGGATTACTTGTGTGGATAAGCCATGGCCCCTGTATTCTGGGTGTGTGCACACTTCGCCAAGGCCACCCAAGGGGATGCCGATGCCGTTCACAAGCATGTCCCTCACAAACACCCGGCACGTGCTCAACATCTCGCCTCCTGCAAGGCAAACAAGCATTCACAGGCAAGTGGCACAATGAGGTGCTTGCTTCATGTACACTCTTCATGTGTATGTATGTATGTGTAGTGTATGTATGTGTATCTGTGTATGTATGTGTAGTGCATGTGTTTGTATGTGTATCTGTGTGTGTGTGTCTCTGTGTATGTAAGATGGAGGTGACAGAGGGGAAAGCTGATGTGGATGCGTCGCCATGACCGTGCCGTGAGGGTCATGGACAGGAAGAATTCACAAACGCAGACATGTTTACAAAGACAAACACACACAAACACAAACACACACACACTCAACCACTCACATGCGCTCACTCACTCACTCAAACATACGCACGCACTCACGCGAACACTCGCACGCACTCACTCTTGTCCGTTGCCACGAGAATGTGGTTCAGATTGAAGCTGGGATCAGCCTCAAGGTGCTGCTGAAAGTATGCTCGAGGTGTGCCTTTTGCAGCAAAGCAAGCAGCGACCATGTCCAACCACGTGTTCTTTGCCTGCGCAGCAACACCACCTCGCCTCCCAGTGCCATTGTCCTTGTCCTCCTGTTCTCTCTCGATGCCCTCCCTCTGCGCCCACTCCAACAAGCTCACCACCTCCGTACCTTCCATCTTTGAACTTCTCTCCTCTTGCTGTGCTGATCAAAGTGTGCAATTCCGTTGAAGCGGTTTAAATTTCCCGGCACATGCACAACACTTTTCCTTTCCTTTCTCTGCAGCAAAAAAAACCGTCGGCGGCGACCGCTGCGCTGCATGCAACCAGTCTTGTCTTCTTCCGTCTTTTTTCCACAACCAGTTAGTTATCGAGCCAGCCAGTGTGCCAGCAGCAGCGACAAGAGCGAGACCAACCAAGCACAGACAGCACCCACCACTCAAACAAGTAGAGACAACACGCACCCTATCCCCCTCAACCAACCATGAACCCCCAGTACGAGGAGATTGGCCGCGCGTTTGCGGAGCACTACTACAACATCTTCCAGACCAACAGGGAGCAGCTCTTCACGCTGTACCAGGATGACTCCATGCTCACCTTTGAGGGCACCCCGGTGCAGGGCCAAGCCGACATTGCCAAGAAGTTCCAGGTACGCGTCTTGCGCTCAAACAGGCTGTGGTTGTGGGTTGTGCACGTGTGTGAGTACATGTCTGGTTGCCGTGGTTTGCTGTGCTTTGGGGGGGGGTTGTCTTGTGCACCACCATCGCAACAGCCGTTCCCGTGCATGTGTGTGTGTGTATGTGTGTATGAATACGTGTTTGTGGCGCGAACGTCTCGACCGTCTCAGGTGCCTGTGTGAAAAGAGTACCATGGCTGCATATACTTTGTTGGTAACCACGTAGTTGTGTTGCGAGAGCTGTTCTTCGTTCACGTTGTTCATTCTTGTTCCCCCCCCCCCCACCCCTACACACACACACACACACACGCACGCACGCGCACACACAGGCCCTGAGCTTCCGCAGCATCCAGATCAACTGCACCGCCATCGACTGCCAGCCACGCCCAGACGGCACCATCTTCGTTGCCGTCATTGGTCAAATTCAGGTGAGCCAACCGTGCCCACAACAGTGCAGCAACCCGCTCCACCTTTCGGTTCTGGACACGTGCGAACGTGCACCCTTCATGTAGAGCACACATGAGGAGGTTATGTTGAGGAACGTGTGTTGCATGCAAAGCCGTTTATTTGACCTTTCTCCTTGTTCCTCTCTGCCCCTCCCCTATCCTGTGTTCCCACTCCCCAAACTGCATGACCCGCCTACTCACCACACCACCACATCCCCATTCTCCGCGTTCCTTTGCTGCGCGTTCCTTGTCACTCCCTCTTCTCTTCTCTTCTCTTCTCATCTCATCTCTTCTCTTCTCTTCTCTTCTCTTCTCATCTCATCTCACCTCTTCTCTTCTCTTCTCTTCTCTTCTCTTCTCATCTCATCTCACCTCTTCTCTTCTTTTCTCTTCTTTTCTTTTCTCTTCTCATCTCTTCTCATCTCATCTCTTCTCTTCTCATTTCATCTCTTCTCTTCTCTTCTCTTCTCTTCTCTTCTCTTCTCTTCTCTTCTCTTCTCTTCTCATCTTTTCTCTTCTTTTCTTTTCTCTTCTCTTCTCTTCTTTTCTCTTCTTTTCTCTTCTCTTCTCTTCTCTTCTCACTTAGACGGACGAGGACCCTCTCAAGGGCTTCTCCCAGTCGTTTGTTCTCGGCCCCACGCCCGAGGGCTCCTTCTACATCCAAACGACTGCTTCCGATTGGCCATCTACGACTACTGAAGGATGCTCTCTCCCCCATGCCTCTTCCCTTCAATTCTTTTTTTTTTCCCTCGACACGCACATGCACACGTGTGCGCGCACTCTCCCCGTGCAAAATGC